TCGTTAGGGAAGTTCCCTTTCAAAAAAAAAAACTATCATGTAAGCAATTTATAAACCTTTGCACTTTATAAACTCATCTCCACAACCTATGAAGGTTTATAAACCGATATTGTTCACATTAAATTATTATTCAAACACATTTATAGTTATTTATATTATGATAAAGTTAAAAAAAAAACTCATTTCTTATATGTGTTCATAGATGTATTTTTTGTAAGATAGGGTTGATATATGAACCTAACTATATATATATATATATATATATATATATATATATATATATATATATATATATATATATATATATATATATAATATATATATATATATATCAACCCTATTTATTGTGTGAATGTATAATCAATTTTCGACCAATCAATAGTTAAAGTTATTATAATATATTCAATAAATAATTAATCAATTACCAAAAATAGTAATCCTCTATTTACGAAATGTCATATTATTAGTTTTCTTCTTCCTCTTTATCTATCCTAGGAAGTTCTTCTCGGTCGCCTCACTGAACCTTCTCTCTTGCATTGCTCCTTAAAACATCCACATAAATAACATTAAAACATCCACATAAATAGTTTTAAATAAAATAATAATAATAATATTTGAAAATAACATTAAATCTAAATTTAAAGTTAACTAACATTCAAATAAAAGTAAAATTTATGAGATCATGAAAACAATAATTGATATTTGAAAAAAAATCTATAATGACGGATGGTAAAAATAAAAAAAGGTAGTTCTTGAATTGATTAACTATCATAATAGTTAAAATATTATTAAAAGTAACATTAAATCGAAAACTATATATATTTTTATTTATAAACAACCCACATAAAGAGACCATTGAGATTATATGGTTTGAGATAAGTATTTATTTAGGAACATATTAATTTGTATTTGTTTTTTTTTTAAATTGTATCCAAACACTAACTACTACAAATTTTTAATTTTAAACTTTCTAATAGATATCTTTCATCATATGATTTAAGATGATAAGAATATTTTATATCCATTTTTTTATTTGTTGATGACAATGATCAACTTCACATATACCACCTGAAGAAGAGAATAAAAATAGAAGCATCATAGCTCATCATCTATCATTCGCTCGTACAACCTCCTACCAAATAGAAGTTGAACTCGGATTTTGTTTATTCAACCATAAATTTTAGATAAATATTTATTTAGGAACATATTAATTTGTATTTGATTTTTTTAAAAGTTGTATCCAAACACTATAACTACCACAAATTTTTAATTTTAAACTTTCTAGTAGATATCTTTCATCATATTATTCAAGATAATAAGAATGTTTTATATCCACTTTTTTATTTGTCCATGATAATGATCGACTTCACATATACCACCTGAAGAAGAGAATAAAAATAAAAACATAATAATTCATCATCTATCATTCGTTCGTACAGCCTCCTACCAAATAGAAGATGAACTCGGATTTTGTTTATTCAACCATAAATTTTAGAAATCCTGAACATTTTAATGATTTCAAGGATGAGAAATGGGTAAAAGTTATCATTGCCAAACACCATGATTGCATTTCCATCTTTAACATGTTATAAACAAGGGTTGTTAATAAGCACATCTTTATGTTTCCTATGACTTTTATATGTGACCAACATCATTTTTTTCTCTTTTTTATTAAAAAAAACCTAAATTAAGCCCGAAAACTAAACTTTTAAAATTGAGAAGAAATCAAACTTAATACTATGATTTTTGAGAAAAGAAATTTGGGACTAAATGTGGCAATGTATTTTATTTTAAAATAAAAAAAGTAATGTTTTTGTTGTAAAAAATGATATTGTGAAAAGGTTGTTAACATCAAGATTTCATATATGATTATTTCTGTTTTGTATGGTCATTAATCGTAAAATTGAATTGGATGGTAAAATCTTATCAAATGTATTTTAAAACATAAAAACATATTTTCATCCATTTGTTAACCCTTCAGTTAACAATAAATAGTTTAAAACCTTTAAAAAAATACATATTTAATACATCATTTCATGGTAAACAATTCAAAATTGAGATTCTACGTAGTAATTCCAAGGAAAAAATATATTAAGTTTTTCTTTAAAAGAAAAAAAAAAATATGAACCTACTTTTCACGTTTTATGTGATTATTTTACATTAAAAAAACAACGGTCACCTTGATATATATGACACCCATATATTTAATGAATAAGTTATATAAATAAAATATATAAGTATTATGTTGTTTTTAAGAATAATAACTTGATAACATGACACATTAATATATTTTCATGACACGTCATTTCTCATATTGATATCCTCATCCAATATATTCCTCACATAGTCACATGTTATTTTATATATATATATATATATATATATATATATATATATATATATATATATATATATATATATATATATATATATATATATAAAGCATTTCCTTTCTTAAACTTTTTATTCATGGGTTTACCATTTTCTTTGATAATACTCATAATAGTGTGTCAAAAGGTACCATATCGAGGCATGAACAATATGGAAGACAGGAAGAGCAACTAGGAAAATCAAAATGGATTTGAGCATTTCCTTGTTAAATAAAGAGGTGTAGGTTTTATTAAAACTGTTCCTTCCATAAAAATAAAAGGGATTTTTATTTTGTCTCTATTAATAGTAGTAAGCGATCACATACGAACTTTCTGAAATATAACTTCTAACCATTTTATGGATTTATGTACATGTTTTCTAGCAAAATCAGCTGGAATAGCTCAGTTGGTTAGAGCGTGTGGCTGTTAACCACAAGGTCGGAGGTTCAACCCCTCCTTCTAGCGATTTTATTGTGTTTGTCTTCTAAATCAAACAACTATATATATATGTATGTTTTTTTTTTTTTAAATTAATAATTGTGAAACAAAACAAAGAATATATAATTTGAATTATTAATTATAACATCATCCAATTACAAGTGTAAGAAAGAGTGTTGCTTATTTCACTAACTATAAACCAAACACATAACCCACAACCTCCTTCAACTCTCTCTTTCTCTATCTTATCCCCCATTGCTCATTCTCTTTCTTCGAAGAAAAAAAAAAACCCATTAATTTCAAGATCACACATACATTTGGCCCAAAAATACTTGCATAACATGATAAAGTTAAAAACTTTAAAGATCTTTATTAGTCACACCTTGTTGCATGTCTCAAGAAGATGATGATTCCAATAGATTTTGAATTTTGAATGTCTTTCTCTTTATAATCAAAGAAACAATTCAAGAATTCAGTAACCAAAATGGAAATACTTTTGGATATGATGAAAACAATAGTTGATATTTGAAAATAACATTAAAATATCCACATGAATAGTTTTAAATCAATTAATAATAACTAGGTGGGGAACCCCCGCGTTGCGGGGATCGGATGCGATAATTTTTTCTGTTGTTTGTTGTTTGTAAATGTTAGTTGACGAACTATTTTTTTGTAGTTTGAGTATTGTTTTGTTGTCGGTTTGCCAAATACCTCTTAAGTGGCATTATCAAATTAATGTCTTTTTTCTCCCTTTGCAAGTTGCAAATGCAACTTAAACTATTTATCGAAATATATACTTCATGGGTTTATTGTTTGGTTAATGGGATAAGATTGGGGTGGTGACGACGTCTTCGGGTTTTTTTTGTACCTGGATTGTATTTGTTGAACTACTTTGAGTATAAAGAATGTAAATAAATACATAAACGAATAAATAGATGTTGTAGCTCTTTTCGTTCTAACAGAATCTATTATTTATGTTATTAATGTTATTTGGGGTGTTTCCTCAATTTTATTAAAACAGCCTAATCTTACAACAAATTTCTAATTAAATGAAAGATAATTTACAACCCAATAAACAAAACCCTTTGAAAGCAGGAAACGAAAATAAAACTTAGCTACAAAATTTCTTATCAGGACTATGCCATTTCAGATTCCAAATCTTCCCAGAAAGTTGTTCCAGGTTCATGCAAATCCAATTTCTAGCACCTGTTACAAATCTACAAAGGAAGATATGTTTCTTTTTTGTATTGAAATCAAGATACATTTATTAAGATAGGAAAGTTACCTTTTGCTCTTCTTTGAGGTACAAAACCTTCAACTTTGGCATAAACCTTTTTAGTTATCTTCGTTGCTTCATCATCGTGTGGTGGGGCCGTAGACACAAAGGCAATAAACCACACCCGCTCATCATTTTGCACAATAAATTTGAAACATTAGGGATACTTTTGTCCAAAACTGTTAAAAAAAATAAGTAACTATAAAAACAGTATGCAAGGGTAGTTTCATCAAAAATTGTTAAATTCAATTTTTTTAAGTATAAAAATATTATGCAGGGGCATTTTTGTCGAAAACTATTAAAATCAAATTTTTTTAACTATAAAAATAGTATGCAGGAGCAGTTTCGTCCAAAACTATTAAAATCATTTTTTTAAAAGTTTAAAAATGGTATGTAGGGGCAGTTTGGTAAAAAAACAGTATGTATGATGAAGTTAAAACCTAGATCCTTCATAATCAATATATTTTGATGATATGAAATCATAAATTTACCTATTTGCATACATGATACATACACACAGTTGCAATCAGTTGAAGAAAAAACTAAAAAATGATGTTAAAATAATATGTTAAATAATCGTTTCTTAGCATAACAAATCAAGAAAATGATACCTACAATCAGAAATTAATTACTAACTAGAAGAAAGGCACAGATTTTAATACTAAAGATGAAAAGCGAGCTTCCAATACTCTTCAATACTATTGGTCTAACAACCAAGTGTTTGACAGATGTGTGATTTTTTTTTGTCTAAGTCATTAAAGACATACAAAGACAAATTTATGCTTTTTGGTTAGTTTCTCCATAGAAGAGATTTAGAATCGTGTTTATAGCATTCATCATTTAATCTATTTCAATTCTAAACATAAAAAACTGCATATTCTTTTACTGCATACACTGTCCCATTTCAAACCTAGATTCTACATACACTTGTCCCATGTCCTACGTGTCTCAACCTTAGTCATGGTTGCTTCATATGGATTCACCAAAGGTGCTACCCTGAAAGCACCTATATTTTCAGTTCAATATAATCAAATTAAAAAAAGTATTTGATTTAAAAAATGGTGAAATACCTGCAATTCTATCAGGAATGTACTTGAGTGCAGCCCATGTATGTATGCTTCCACCTGAGTATCCAACTATCGAAAACTTACGATAAATTAAACTTATACTTTGTCCAAATATTCTCCTATTTGAATGCTTCCATGAAGAAAAAAAGTGAATGATAATACCAATCGTCCATTGTTGCCACTAACTCCAACTCAGATAACATAAGCCTCTTTGAACCCATTGTTGAACAATAACTCTGGCTACCTTCATGGAGTTACCATTAAAACTACCTTACAAAAAAAACAAAGGAATCATATACTGATCAAACTTCTCAACTATAGAAAAGATAAAAGACTCACAGCCAACATAATCATTTTCCAATGAAATGAAATAGTATATACAAATACTTTATAAGGAGGATCAAACTTCTTATTCTCTATTTTAATTTCAAGTTGAAAGCATCAATAACAGATATGCCCTTGTAAGAGATGAAGTACCATGTCGCTATTCAACAACCCTGATGATATTAATCCAAGAAATTAATGTCAATCCTCATCTTATTCAAACTGCAACATGAGATAAACTCATTAAAATAACCAAAAAAATAAAGGAATTGAGATGAAACCAATTCACACTTGAATAAACACCAAAACCAAAAGATAATACAGTGAAGTTGGCATGATTTACCTGGTCGGTCACTGCTGTAGGAGTATCTATGTCTTCAGTATAGAGTCCCTTAAATACAGATGAAAAAATGTCATCTCTCCCTGCCAAAAAAATCTTCCATAGTAACAAACTATTAAGGATTTTTCTATTATTAGATGGTCAAAAACACAATCAACAGGTACTGATTCATTTTCAGTATGTATTGAAAAAAAACGGAAAAACTAACAAAAAAACTGTAAACGAACCTTGTGTTTGAAGTGGGTCTTTGGAACATGTTCTTGGGATAACATCTCACACCAAGTCGATTAATTAAGTCTAATTTGTTATCACTGCCAATGTAATAGAAAAAGAAATCGATGAAATTAGCAGATGAAGAATGAAATTAGAAACAAAGACAGTCACCTGTTTTTGCCCTAGAAATGGAAAGAAAGCCACAAACAACGATTTGAAATAGATCCACTTCTGATGGTTTAGATCCAAAACGGTATTTGCAACCTCAATCTCATTGGCCTTGAAGTCTTCTTGTAGAACATATTGCATCATTGCAAAGCAGAAATTGCAATCTACAGTCAAACATGGGATGCATCAAGCATATGTCAATGTTAAATACAATTACACAATAGTTGCAACTCAAAGAAAGTGTAGTAATTCACCTGTACAGTTTCATCATAAGTAAATTGAGGGAGTCATTTTTCCATTTCATCTAAAGGAAATTAATAGCCTCTTGCTCTTTCAATCCAACACTTGTTTCCTACAAAAAAAAATTCAAAAGCTACATTAGATAACAAATTTATATCTTTTTCTAAATCCATTACAAAATTCCACACATCTAATATCCAAAGAAGTGACCTGCTGGATCACATTTGAAGAGTTTAGACCCATTCTCATCATCAATACCCAACAACATAGCCACTGAAGTTCAAACAAATCAATAAAATCATGCACATTCACAAAAATAAGCAACTAATAACAACTTCACATCTAGAAACTAACCTACTCCTAGTGGTCTCATGTAAGCATGTTAAGTATAAACTTGTGATTTGTCAGCAATCCTGCAACATATAGATTTATCAACATAAAAAATGATATGACATAATCTGATAAACGGAACTCAAAAAAGTTGTAGGATTAATACCATCTTGCTAATACATAAACAGCCATCTCATAGCCATATTTACAACGAAACTCAGCTACTTTATTTCTTGGCTATGGAACCAATGTCTTTGCATCAACTAAAAATATGTACAAAACATTATTTATTAGTTATTATTCTTGCCTTACACAATTACTTTTCACGTTTTATGTGATTATTTTATGATTAAAATAAAAAACAACAACAACAACAACAACAACAACAACGGTCACCTTGATATATTTGACACCCAAATATTTAACGAATAACTTATATAAATAAAAGATATAAGTATTATGTTGTTTTTAAGAATGATAACTTGATAACATGACACATTAATATATTTTCATGACACTTGATTTCTCATATTGATATCCACATACAATATATTCCACACATGATATATATATATATATATATATATATATATATATATATATATATATATATATATATATATATATATATATATATATATATAACACTTCCTTTCTTAAACTTTTATTCACGGTTTTACCATTTTCTTTGATAATACTCATAATATTGTGTCAAAAGCCTACCAAGATCGAGGCATGAACAATAAGGAAGAGGACTGGGAAAATCAAAAGTGGATTTGAGCATTTCTTTGTTAAATAAAGAGGTGTAGGTTTTATTAAAACTGTTCCTTCCATAAAATAAAAGGGATTTTTATTTTGTCTCTATAATTAATAGTAGTAAGCAATCACATATGCACTTTCTGAAATATAACTTCTAACCATTTTATGGATTCATGTACATGTTTTCTAACCAAATCAGCTGGAATAGCTCAGTTGGTTAGAGCGTCTGCTTTTTTTAAATTAATAATTGTGAAACGAAACAAAGAATATATAATTTGAATTATTAATTATAACATCATCCAATTACAAATGTAAGAAAGAGTGTTGCTTATTTCACTAACTATAAACCAAACACATAACCCACAACAACCTTCAACTCTCTCTTTCTCTATCTTATCCCCCATTGCTCATTCTCTTTCTTCTGAAAAAAAAAAAAAAAACCCCATTAATTTCACAAGATCACACATACATTTGGCCCAAAAACACTTGCATAACATGATAAAGTTAAAAACTTTAAAGATCTTTATTAGTCACACCTTGTTGTGTCTCTCAAGAAGACGATGATTCCAACAGATTTTGAATGTCTTTCTGTTTAGAATCAAAGAAACAATTCAAGAATTCAATAACCAAAATTCCCAAATATAAAAAAATGGAAATACTTTTGGATTTTTTTTGAATACTAACCTCGAATTCAAGAGGTGGGGTTTTAGGGGCATATCTTTGGATAACTTTTCCTTGTTTGTTAACTAAAAACTTTGTGAAATTCCATTTGATTCCATCAACCAAGAATCCACCTTTTTCTGATTTTAGAAACTTGTATAGGGGTGATGCATTGTTCCCATTAACCTCAACCTGCAATGATCCAAGAATGTATTTCCTTTAAATTTACAAATTCGCCCCTCTATCCGATAAAAAATGTAACAATTTCTTGAGATATCAAAACACCTTGTCAAATATCGGGAACTCGGCTTTAAATTTAGTGCACACTGTATCCTGAATTTCCTCATTTGTCCCTGGTTCTTGCCAAAGAAATTGGTTGCAAGGAAAAGCCAAGATTTCAAAATCTGCCAACAATATGAAAAGTCAAATAATCAAAACCATGAAAAAGTCAAAGTAAAAAAAGTAAATATGAATCTACTTCATGCACAATACCATAAACATACCTTGATCTTTGTATTTTTGGTACAATATATTCAATTCTTTGTAGTTTGACTCGGTCAATCCACTGTCGAAATAAACAAATGATTATATATTAAAATTAGCCAAAAGATAGTTGTGTTTTGTGATTATTGAATAACGAATGGATTCATTAATTGAAGTGTATTTTGAACATCAGAAATTGCAAAGTCAACTTTAGGCTCTGCAAATTCATGTTTTAACAATATTTAAAATAACATAGTTAACAATTCTTTCCTGAATACAAATACAAATTCTTTTCTTCTACTCAAAAGGAACTAAATCTTGTTGATTTAGAAGTAAAAGATGACTAATTTTCCCTCAAAAGTCAAATATGGAATGTAGATGGTGATAATAATAATAGTCTTAAAGTCGAAATACAATAATACATATTAAATAAAATATGAGATGAAATCCATGTGGATACCCTCAACTACCATCCATCTGTTTTAATTATAATTTAGAACATCATGGTGAACATGGGCACAATAAATACAGCCAAAATGATGCGATATCTTCAAGAACTAAATCAAGAATTTCTATACCAATCTATGAACCAAAAAATCATCAATCTTATCGAATCAAGATTTGTTTCACCTTTTTTTTTTTTAATAAAATGTTTTCATGAGGGCAATTCATCACGTATCATATAACCTTTGAACCAAGATCTTTACAATATCACATATAAAACACAAAACAGTTTCTATTTAATGGCTACTAACAAGTTTCAAATCAATAAACTCTACAATATCGACAAACATATCAGAGAAATGAGCTATTGTTGAAGCAGAAATTGAAGTTCTTTACCATTTTGATGCAACGTTGACAATTAAGAGAACCTTTCCACTGTATGAGCTCAAATGCACCTCATTTCCACGAATATCCTGAAACATCGAATTTCGTCAGAAGCTTTAAATAAAACATATAAAAATTGAGAAGAAAATGAATCAAATATATATTCCTTCCATTCAAAGGGGAATAAAGAGATAAAGTTTGAATTTTTTGAATCCAAATCTAGTAATTTCATATCCGAAATTGATATGAATCTTGAGGTAAAAGTAAACAGAACTGCATTGATATGTGAGGCCTGTTATATGGTTTAAATCGATTGTCATATACCCATCAAATTTGAAGGGATTGATCATCAATTTTGAAGTTGAAATTGAGTTGGTTTGGACTACGCAACCAGGAATTGTTGGATATTTAGAGAAAACGAGAACCATGAAATCCCAAAATCAGATATCGTGTTTTTTAAGAACAACAAGAATATCGGAATGAAGAGAAGTGATTTTACCTTAACAGTAAAGTCGTGAACGGATTTGGGGGTTTCTTGAGTCATGTTTAGGGTGATGGAAGAAGACGGGTGTCTATAAAACAAGACGAATGCGAGACCAACAAGGAAAAAAGGTGTCAAATTCGTGACTGTTGTAGACGCCATTGACAGTCAGTTCCCGTATGCTTTTTATAAACAGAAATTGTGAGCAAACTCGTTGATGGTCAGTTCGTGCGCGCTTTTACCAAGTTTAGGTGTTGTTGCGGAAATTTTCAGTTATTTATTTATTTTATTTATTTGAAATAAAATTATGAAATATCCACACAATAAAAAAAATAAGATAACGTAACATGAAAAACTTCGTATTATTGATTATATTGAAATATTAAAAAAAAATAAAACGAAATGTCTGACTATAAAAAGGTGTTGTTGCGAAAATTTTCAATTTTTTATTTGAAATTAGATTATGACTTGCGTAAAATGTGGGGACGTATAAAGAATACATATAAAATTATAAAAAGTCGACACAATTAAAAAAAGAAAGTAACATAAAGAAACTTCGTGTTATTGATTATGTTGAAATACTTAAAAATGTAAAACGAAATGTCTGAGTATCGACCTCTTTATAAACAACATTTTTTTTTGTTTTATTTGTTGGATAACCTTCTTCTTCACATATGAGTACCTTCAAACCCTTTTTACTTGTCACGCGATAAACAACTACATACATATATTGACTATGAATGAAGACAGGTCTACGCAAATACAATCCAACGGTTGATAATGATTGGCATTGACTCTTGTTAATGGACATAGCAAAACCAACAGCTACGAGGAATTGCCTCTGCTGAAAACGGAAGGAGATTCTTTTATCAAACGAAATTAACTTCATGCGAGGTATGTAAACAGTCTCATTGAAGAATCTACCAGCTATAATTCGTGCCTCAATGACATGTTTTCCAAGACTAACTATTTGTAATAGCGTACTATTACACAGACCTTTGGTTTGGTCTGTTGGATTTGGTGTCTAAGCACATAACTATAATTGCTATAAACTTAAATTGATGGTAGCAAAATCCTTTTGGATTGCCCTCAAACCTAGCAATTGGACAT